AAAAATGTATAAGATAGCATACTCTTTTGTAATCACACCTATCGGTATTAAGTGCACTGGCCGTGTTTGTAGAAGCTGGTCTTTCTAATAGACAATATGAAATTGTTAGAAGTTCTTGTAAAACTTTATATCCTTGCTATAGTATCCTGGAAAAGGAAAAAGTTGATTTTTATCCAAATAAGGAATCTTATTATGTCAATGAAACTTGTATTGCAGTCAAAGATTTATTGGACCATACCGTTACACGATTGGTTATGTATTTAGAAGAAGTGGTACAAAATTTAAACGAAAAAGAAAGAAGTTCCTTATAATTAAATTGAAAATGGGTTGTGACGGATCACAGTAAAGTCAATATAAACAGAAATTTCTGAATGACGCCAATTCTGATGCAAGTATATTTCAGAGTTCTTTTGTACCGCTTCAATTAACTTGTACTAAAAACAATAGATTGATCTGGCAAAATCCAAATTCTTCTTCGCCACGTTATTGTCGCCCTATAAAAATTAGATTTGTCAAAGAATCTAATGATATAATAAATGAAGAGATAAAACTTGAATCTAATGATATAACAAATGAAGAGATAAAAGTGCAAATTCAATTATATCTTTGCATGATACAAAATTGACAATGGGTGGGAATTTATTTTCATTTAAACATAATATGATGCTCACTATAGTTGATGCTAAGGTGTGTAACGCAGCCACTAAAACAGCTTTAACTATAAGATGCTATATTTGTAATGCAACATCAAAAGATTTTAATAACTTGACTATTGAGAAAGATGTAAAAACCAGATACACTAAAGTTTGGGTTATTAATTTTGCATGCCAGGATCCGAATATTTAAAAATTTATTGCATCTTTTTTATAAATTGCCTATTAAAAAAAAGCAGGATCAAAAAAAAAAAATTAATTGTCAAACAAAACTAGAAATACAATCAAATTTTAGAAAAAAAATAGGTTTAATAGTAGATGTACCTAAGCCTAGATTTAGTAACTCAAATGATTGCAACACTAGCCGACAATTTTTTGCAGACCCAGAGTTGGCAGCTGAAATATTGTATATAGATTGTGACCTAATATATTATCTTAAAGTGATATTAGAAACAATATCTAGTGAACATAAAATTGATGTCGAAAAATGTAGAAGATATACTGTAAAAACTGCGGATTTATATGTCCAGTTATACCAATGGTATCCGATGACCCCTACAATGCATAAAGTCCTTATTCATGTTTTTATTGTAATAGAGCATGGTTTTCTTCCTATTGGTTAGCTATCACAAAAATAATGAAGCAGCTTAAGCACGAAATAAATATTTTCGTCTTTACCGTCAAAACAATGCTAGAAAGTTTTTCAGAGAGTCTTGCAACCTTGACGATTTTAATAGATTACTAATTAGCTCAGATCATATTTTTACTGGCATGAGAAAATTACCAAGAAAAATTACTAAACCATTTTGAAAAGAAACCTTGAAGATGCTACTTCGAGCTGAACTTTCTAATTTTACTAATTTTATTGTTGACACAGAGGAGAAATCTTCATAGCAATCAGGGATATCTTCAGACCAATCAGGGATGTCTTCTGATGAATAACTTTAGCTTTCGGCATCATCCTTTTAACAGTAGTTATTTTGAGTTAAAATATAAAGAGTTGTAAAGATTTTTTTTAATTTTTAGCATAGCTTAATAGGAGTTGTATAGTAATTGCCAGTGCTTCCGAATACATTAAGGTAACACAAATTGCGATGTTTTGACTTTCAATTCCGAGTGAAAGTTAGAGGAAGAAAAGTTATCCACCATATATAATAGGTTTATATCATGGTAAGAACCATATAAAATAGGTTCGTATCATGTTTATGCTATAGCAATGTGTGACAATAAAAAAAGAAGCTGTGGGGAGGGGGGAAGGAGTCTATCATCCACAAATTTTTTTAAAATCTTTTGTTTTCTCTTTTTATTTGGCTTAAAAGATTTTGCCTAAAGGAATAGTAGATAAGTATGTTATTCATTTTGTGTAGTCTATATTCCTATGTGTATTCATTCTGTGTTGTCTGTATCCCTAAGTGTGGACTATACCCTTGAATTTAACCGTACTGAGGGTTCCAGGACATAAAAATCAGGACATAAAACATTACTGTGCAGAATGCTGCGCAAAATGACGACATTCACGTTTAAAATACGTTAAGCAGGGATTGCAATTCTTGAATGAGAGTTAGGGAAGAAAGTTGAAATTGTTTGAGTAATCTACAATTGATTGGGAAGAGGATCTTTCTGACAGATCACTTTTCATGTTGTGGGTGAAAACTTTAAAGAGTTGGAACCTAAAAGACTTTCTCTTATAGTTGAAGGCAATGAAGATACTGCAATTGCAGGACCATCACATTTTTTTTTTTTTTTTTTCAGTTTACAATTATTAATCGTAATATAACAATATAACACTATATAAACTTGGTATCTGAAAGAAGATCCAAATGATCTTGTCACAAGAATCATATAAAATATATCATACGTGTATATATAATAAAATGAAAATACAATTGATCAAACAACTATTAACAATGTAGAAGAAACAAAAACTGAAAATAATTTTACAAATTATCAAGAGTGAAAAAAAGAATTTTACATTTCAAAAATATTTATATATATTGCCAGTAGAAATAATATAGTTTTTTAATTTAATTTTAAAAACGGAAAAAGAAATTGACAAATCAAAATTTGGAACAACAATTTTGTTCCATAAATACGGTGCTCTATAGTTTATGCAAAACTGATTAAACTTTGTTTGACAAAAGGGTTCAATTAATAAATCATTATTTCGTAAAGCATATTTGTTTATAGCTTTATAAGTAAAAAGATCTTTGAAATTGCACAATGGTTGTTCACTTTTACAACGAAACATAAAACATAAAATATAATAGACATTGAGTTCGTAAACTTTAAGTGCGTTAACGTTTTTAAATAAAATATTTGAATGAGAAAAACGATTTTCGAAACATTGCGTGTTTCTGACGATGGTAAAGATTTGGTAACTTACTTTAAAGGAACTTCCTTAAACAATATTTGCATAATTTATATAGCTATGAATAAATGAGTAGTAGAATTGAATTAAATTTTGTTTACTTAGATAGTATCTGATCTTATATAGAATTCCAATACTTTTAGCCAATTTAGTAGAGATATAGTCGATTTGATACTTCCATGTAATATTTTCATGTAAATTCCTAAAAAATGTAATATTTTCATGTAAATGCCTAAAAATTTTCTGACCGACTCCTTTTTTATTTCAATTTTATCAATAAATAGTTTAGGCAATTTATTTGGTAAAAAACGCTTTTTTGCAAGAGAGTGGAAAAGGATCCATTTTGTTTTGTCAATGTTTAAAGTTTACTTGTTGCACTTAATTCAGTTGGAGATCTGATTAAGTTCTTTATTCATATTTGAAAAAAGCTCATAAATGTCACTGTTTGACAGAAATAAATTAGTATCCTCCGCAAAAATTATACTCATAAGGTTAGAAGCCATTATTTAAATCATTTATATAAACTAAAAACAAAAGTGGGCCTAGAATAAAACAATTAGTTTTTCATTTTGAAAATAATCTCCATAGTTTTCTATTTTTCAAGTAACTTTTATACCATTTTATTAATTCGCCATTAATTCCGTAAAATTTGAGTTTTTTAAGTAGAATTTTGTGATCGATCATGTCGAATGCTTTTGATAGGTCAATGAAAATACCTAATGTATATTGTGATCTACCAAATGAATTGGAGATTTCACGAATGAACTGTGTAATAGCTTGTTCAGTTGAACAATTTTTTTTAAAACCGAATTGATTATTATATAGAAGTTTATTTAGATTAAGATAATTGTATGTTCTATTGTATATAATTCTTTCTAAATTTTTCTATTTCACATCTAGTGTCCTCCATAGTTAAAAGTAATGAAGATACCACTATCGCAGGAATATCAATTGTTCTGTCTCCCATAGTTGATTTCAATGAAGATACTGCAATTGCAGTATCCCATGAACCATCCCATGTACTGTCTTCCATAGTTGATTCCAATGAAGATACCGTATTCGCAGGACCATCAAATGTACTATCTCCCGAAGTTAGAAGAAATAAAGATACTGCAATCGCTGGACAGTCAAGTATATCATCTCCGTTTAAAAAGTATAGATTCCATTACCACGTTTTTGGCATGTCAAAATCACAGAAGCAAAAACCGAAAGAAAAAATACCTATACGCTATAGTGTCTGGAGACCATTTTCCTTTGTATTTCAAAAGAAAAAATCGAAAAAATAAATGAAATGGAAAGACTAAAACAAGAAAGATGAAATTGAAAGACTAAAACAAGAAAGATGAAATGGAAAGAAGAAAATCATAAGAATAAGAGGAAAAAAAAGTAAAGAAACGGAAACGGTATAAAGAGTCTGGTTCAGACTCATCTATTTCTATTCCTTAACTAAGCGATGGTAAAGATCCTGATTGGTATAAATATTCTTCAGATGAAAATTTAATTACTCTGTAAACAGATGACTTTGTAATTATAGAGTATGAAGGGAGTCATATTTGTGAGGATCTGCTACCTTAAACCTAACCTTCTCGTAAAATCATCATTTTGTAAAATCCTCTGCTTAAACTTTGTTTCAAATTAGAATTTCCCACTTCCACGTTAACCCCTCTTATTCGCGTTTTTGTGGCACCTTAATGTAATAGTCCAAAAACTCTAAGTTTTCGGACTATTTCCTTCTCGATTCTTAAATAGTTTTCCTGATTCTCATATTGGGGACTTAACAATAAAAAGTTGATCTTCTGCCAAGTAGTTGCCGCAATCAATTTATCATTTGCTTCGTCATGACTTTGATTGTTTTCTTTTTCTTTTTTTGATCAAATAAATTTCCAATTAAAAAAACTTTATTACTAAAAAGCATAAGAAAAAGCTAATTAATAAAAAAATAAAAATTAACTTATTTAGTAGGCAGTGATTAGATTTAATTCTTGCACTAAATTTTATTTGAAATAAGTTATCTAAATACTTTGTCTAAAAATTCAAACGTTTTTCAAATAAATTCTATATATTTTAAAAAATTACAGTCTTTATTAAACAAATAAAATACTTTATTGTTGCTGGTATTTAAAAAAAGAGTTTCATTACTTCGGTCTTTTAATTTATCATCGGCTAACATAGGTATATACCTAATTATTATTTACCGTAGAAACTGTCAACCCAACACAAGCATTATTCTAGTAATATTGTTTAAAAAGCTCGGGCATGAAACAGTAGTAACACGCTTCTGTATTATAAGACAAAATGCTCTATCTTCAAGACTACAACCTTCGTTGTTTTTTTGGTCGAGGTCCATTGTGTGGAATGGGCGTGGTGTCAGTTATAGATACTACATCAAGAATACTTGCCAATGCTTTTACAGCATCCTGAAAATATAAATTAAAAAAATTAAAAAGAAGTTTTTAAATCAGAAAGATAATGCCTTATTACTGTAATATTACCTATTAATGTAAATAAACAACAACGATGAATAAAATGAATTTTCATAAGTGTTTATTCATTCCTTGTGTTATTAACTAAAATTCAGCTGAATCATCTTTGGACCTTAGTTTTAATAATTGCAATTATCTTTTCATTTATAAAGTCCTCCATAATCACATGCCTGGACTTGACATATACTTACATTTAAATTCACTTATTTGTAGTTTCTGTGCTTTCACTTGGAGTGATGTATCTTTGCCAAAACTTCTGCCTCCTTAATTATCTTCTAGCTTCAGGCAGGTGTGAAAGCTTTTATTTTGTCTTATTGGTTTAAAGTCAAACCTGACTGTACACCTTGGTTTTCTCTTTTTCATGCAGCTGCTATTTCTGATTTGCGAAGAATTTTATCTAAATTATCTCCTGAGCCTAATGAACACAATTCTTTTGTCATCCCAAAGAACCAGGTTTATCAATTGTTAGACATCTAAATCACTCTTGCTTCTATTATATATATTTAACTCTTTACAACCTGTGGTCGATATAACATTTCTTTCACAACCTTACAAAAGTGTTTTCCAGAACTCTCTTTGAATCAAATACTCTAACAATCAATGCAGACTTTGATCCTCTCGTTCTACTGCTGATTTGTTAATAGTTAACACCAATGATCTATAGGGTATTGGTAAGTGAAGTGGTAAGGTAAGAGCTAATATATTAATACTCTTCACATTCAATAAAGTCTGAAATTCTCGTCTTCATACTGAATACATTGGAAAAGCATTGAATCATTTCTTCAAAATGCAGTATTAAAGTTACAAAAACACTATCTTTTATTTCCACCTTTTGGGGTACCACAAGAATCTATCCTTGGTTCCATGTTGTGTTTTTCTAAATTAGTAATTTTCTGAATAACCTTACTGCTAAAGTGGCTCTACTTGCTGATAACAGAATCAGATACTGCAGTCATGACAAAAACTCAGTTTCAGTTGCTATGGCAGCATATCTTGAATTTCTCTACTATTACAGGTTTTGGCATTGGGTGGTTAGTTTTACCTAACTAAAACTCAGAGATTACTGCTAATAATTATAGCAGTTGATGTTTTTTTTATTGATGAATAGTAAAACTCTTACTTCTTTCTCAAGTTTATGCTTTCTGAAATTATCTTTTACTGATTACTGATTTCTCTTGGAAACCATATATACAATCCATCGCAAAGCACCTGTTAAAATTGACTCTCTAAATTGTGCAAGACTTTTTCTTATTTATTTTTGTATTCCATACTGTTGTCATATATGGGGTGGTTTTTAAAGTCCAAAATACCATTGTTATTGTTGTTAGACCTGCTCTAGCTGTAAGTGTAAACCTTTGATCCATTGTTGTAGGGTTGTGTTTTGCACTTTTTTCTATAAATCTATAATAATATATAAGCTATATAATAAACCTTTATTTATCCTCAATTATTGATGCTTTTAAACTCTCTTCTTTTTATGTTTTTTCTGAATCATAAATTTAAAATTTTTTTAAATCTTTCGTTAATTACTTCTTTTGGTCCACTCCGACCAGTTTTCTGACAACACTTTTCTTTTTTGCCCATTAACTCCCAACTTAAATAATGGTTGCTTGCAGCCTTGTTGAAAATTAAATTACTAAAAAAATTTAATAAAAAAATAATCATAATAAAAGCATTTAAAAAAAATACCATGCGACCTGGACCCATACCCCTTACTTTCAAACGAACTTTATTAACTCCAAGATCATTAGCTTTCTAAAGAAAAAATTGTAAAAAATACTTTTAAATAAAATAATAAAACAGCAAAAAAATATTATGCTAAACAGTCTAAAGAAATATAAAGAAAATAGATTAACTATGTAGTGAAAATGCTAGATAATACAATAAAATTAGAGGTGTTCATGAAAAACTTATCAAAAAATTATATATTAACCACTTATACCTTTGCTAAACTTTCTGCTGCAACCTTTCCTGCATAATTTGTTCCTCGCTTTGAATTTTTAAAACCCTCAATACCCTATGATAAAATGATATAACCAATTATTTCAAAAATAATATTTATATTTATGTTAACAACATTAATAAAGTTTTTTGAAAGTAAAAATTCAAAAAAAAAAAAAAGCTTATATGGTTTTTAAATTTTTAAAAAATGTTTTAAAAACCATATTAGCTTTTTTTATAAGTGTTCAGCTCCTGCCCTTTAGCTTATTATATTATTAGTATCATAACAAACAACTTTGTAGGAATAAAGTAAAAATTACAATTTTTCGTAGGTGAACTCTAAAACTGTTATTTTTTCTTATGTTATTACTATTTATACTACAAGATTAATTTCAAGATTTAAGAAAAAAATATCTGGCAAAAATAATTTATTGGTTCTCTGGATATTGTTTTTCAAAGTTTGATTAAATTTAAAAATAATTGACCAAATGCAGTTAAATAGATTTTTAAACTAAAATTATTTTTAAAATTAGAAGTCCAAACATTAAATTCACCTAATTTGTTTATTGGCTAGTTCAGTTACAAATATGCAAAGTACATAATTTGGCTTGTTTAAAGACCATGCTTCAATAGTACACAAAAACTGACTTTTTGTCATTTTTTCTTTTTTTTTCATCTAAAACCATAAGCATCCCATGATTTTTTTTAGTACCTAAGAATACAAAAAAATAGTAAGGACTTACTGTTTATCTCAAAATTTATTTAAAAAATTAAATTCTATAAATATTTGTGACTGCATGAAGGCCCTGGGTTTTCAGGAAAATTAAATAAAGTTCTATTTTACTCTATCATGTTTTTTTTTCCCATGATTCTAACTTTTATTATATTAGTAATGATTGTATTATTACTTTATTTGATAACTTTTTTTTTTTTGATAACACGAATTATAATAGGAAGTTATTTTTATTGCTAATGGTGTCCATCATAACTCCTGACATGGTTGAAGTTGGGAATTTATTTTTAATTTATTAATTTTGGGTCCTGCTAGTAAACAGGTTTTTATTATTTAGATTTTAAATCAAAATAATAAAAGAAAATAATAAAAAAAAGGTTGCAAAATAATAAAAGATGCTTTGTTTTAAGGTCTTGAAGAGCTAGTAGCTGGTGATTGAAACAAAAAATCTATTATTGAAAATTGTTCAAGCAGAGCTTTTAACAATAAAGAGAAATAATGTTCATAATACTTCTACATGTTAGGAATGGAACAGAAACAAGGAAAACAACGTATGCATCCTGATGACAAAGTAGATGAATTCAATACTTTAAATAAAACCAGAAAAAATACTACAGCTTTTCTTAGGACCAGTCCAATTAAATTTGAGTTTATAAGAAAATTTTAGCTTGTCAATGAACCTACAAAAGAATGAATGCAAAAAAAGTACAGAAGAGGCCATGAAAAATTTATCAATTATTAACTTATATTATAATTATCAATTATTATTATTAAAAAATATTATACATTTATTGATCATAGTGAATATACAAAACAGTTTTAATCCATCAAATTAAAGTACACAAAGTTTGCCAGAAAATGGAAAAACTTGGGCAAAAACATTTTTTGCAAGGTTTTACCCCAAAAGAGGTTATCTACAAGAAGCAGTTTTCAAATCCTAAACCTTTTTAGATTTTACCTTTCCAAGCAGAACATTTTTATTTCCAAGTATTAAAGCTTGACAGTAATGATGTTGCAGCTGTAACCAGTGCATTTTAACAAACAAATAGTCATAATATTGCTTTATACTCCAAAAAGAGCAAAGAAAATTGCAGAGGCCTTTGTCATACTCAATGTTAAAGTGGATATTAAATGGAAATAAACTTCATAAAAAATGCCTGTCTGGTTTAAATGACACCACTGCTGTCTGTTTATCTTCTAGTTAATCTTTTTGACTAATCATCCAAAATTGAATGAAACAATACCTTTTTGGTTAATTCCTGAATAATTTACAACTTACATGAACAATTTTTCCATAAAAAGTTGACTTCTGGAAAACTAGAAAAATCAAAAACATTTTAAAAATAAATACCACTCATGCTCTTACTGAACTTGAAAACATTAAATTGTGATCATTTATTATTTTAAATGATTGCAGTGTGCTATGATACAACTAACCAATCAAAAAATTTGATGAAGTCAATCAGATTGGAAATGACCATGTTGATGGTTATGATGTATTATATGATATTTAAGTATAAATACACAGCATCACTTAGTAGATGAAATACATAAAAGCAGGGCTCGGTGGCAAGCGAGAGCTTTAACTCTCGCTCTCGCCCACACTCCCCTAAAATGGTTTATGAGAGCAATTTAGGGCTCTTGCAAAAATATAATTTTTCTTACGAAAGTATAAAAATAAAAAACACAATGTCATTTAAAAAAAATTATTTGCATAATATACTGCAATTGTTTTTAAAAAGCATGGTTGTTTACAAAAAAAAATTAAAATTAAAAAAGAGCGCCAATTTAAATGAGGAACAGTTCACACAGCTCCCCAAGTTTGTTTTAGGAGAGCTTTTTCTCCGCTCTCGTACTCATTTATTCCTGCCCAGGCTTGTAAAAGTATATATAAATATATAAAATATATTTATATACATTTATAAACATTTATATATATATATAATATATATAATATATATATATAAATATATATATATATATATATATCATATATATCATATATATCATATATATATATATATATATATATATATATATATATATATATATATATATATATATATATATATATCATATATCATATATATCATATATATATTATATTATATATATTCGAAATAAGCGCCAAAAATATATTATTTATGGCACTTATTTTGAGCCAACGAGTTGATAAAATATTTTTTGTACTTTATGTATTATTTATCGATAAATTTTAAGTTTCATAGTATTATCTCTCATCATTCAAAAATAATGACCATATAAAATTTGTACCCCCTCAATTTGAGGGGGATTTAAAATTTATCTGGTCATAATTTTTGAACACTAAGAGATAAAACTATGAAACTTGAAATCTATTGATGAACATGTGTAGTTGAGAATGGTACAAAAAATATTTTATCAACTTGTTGCCCCTCGCATTTGCGGCGGAGGTGGGTGGGTGGGGGCATGGGATCAAGTTAAAGGGCTTTTTCATTCCCAGTATGAACTTTGTCCTTGATTCAAGTTTGAAAAAGAATCATCAATATTTAAAAGAACTTAGTCATACTTTGAAAACCAATAAGTATTTTTATATCTATTTTTTTAACTCCCTAAGGTTGAGGTGAATATTATACCATGGTATTCTTTGTAGAAATAAATAAGAGATTCAACCTTACTACAGTAAAATTACACTTATTAGCTAGACCAGGTCTAATTATACATGCATATTTGTACCTAAAAAATAAAAGGTATCATTTGAAAATTGTCAAATAAACAACAAAATAAAAAAATAATAAAAAAAAATAGAACTCAATGTTTTGGTTTTGCTGATTTTTTTATGTAATAGGTATATCAAAATTAAGAAAATCTGAAATTTAGAACCACCAACTCGTTACAGCATTATTTGCAAAATGTATTTTTATCATTAACAGCAATATTTTATGAACAAAATGAGGTATCATCCTAAAACTTGGTTCATAGACAATCTTCCACATAGCAAATTTAATTTTTTTTTTAAATACCTTAAGTAAATGCAAATTGAATAATAAAGGTATATATTTTGGGGTATTTAACTGTAAAGATGGTGATTTTTTTAAAGGGATTTTTACACCTTACAATATAGGTATCAAACATCAATATTATTGTAAAAAACATTATTGCAATTTTTCGACTTTTATAAATACAGCATTTTAAGTTAAGCCTTTACTTTAAAAATTAATATAAATGCTGAGTCACCATATAATTTATTGCAAATGTAATAATGATAAAATTAGCTATATCTTTATTTTATAAATATATATTTTGTAAAAAATTATTTTTAAAGTCCTTTAGAGGGCATTAATAAACTTATATTTTATTTCTAATTTTTTTTTTGTATAGGAGTAGACTTAAAGTGAGGTGAGGAGTGTCAGATGACAATATTTATTTTTAATTTCTTTTTGATGGGAGAGGGGGGAGGGAGGATGTTGGTTAAATGCCTAATTACATCCTGGTCTCCTCTTCCCCCTCCCTTATTTGGAGCCTAACCTAGGCACAAAAAAGTTAAAAATAAAGTATAAATTTTTGATTGCCCTCAAAAAGACATTAAAAATAACTTTTTACAACAAATTTTTAAAACAAAGAAATTGCTGATTTTGTCATGATATTGAGCTGATTTTGTCAAGAATGAGAGTGAGAAATAGCTTATTTTTTCATGAAGTGAGCAACAAATTATATGGATTCAGCATTTTATAAGCTTTACTTAAAAGGCTGTATTAGAAAAATCTAAAAATACATAATATTATCATTTATTATCATTAGCAATGTTTGAAACATATATTTTAAGTTATAATAATGCATAAAAAATTGCCAAGGTGACATCACCATTTTTTCCATCAAAATGACCTAAACTATATGCCTTTATTATTCAATTTACATGTGGAAAATGTCTTTGTGCCAAATTTCAGGATAATACCTCATTTCATTCATAATATGATTAATTACAAAAATACGCTGTACAAAAATATGCAAAGTCAGCATAAAAAAGAAAATGGAAACATGAATATCTCACATAAGGAGACATGAATATCTCACATAAATTTCTTGATTATCATAAACCCTATGACATAGAAAATTAAACAAAACTAAAAACATAGGTCGACATGAGACTACTGTTTTGACATGGAATTACCCATCAACTTTGGGTAGGTAGAAAAAATAAATTTTTTATAAGATATATCTAAAGTAGTAATCATCTTTTGCTCAAATACCAAAACAAAAATATTTGCTATCCTCAAATTATCTGAGGTGATATGTGCACTATAAGTTTGCCAACAGGATGGTAAAATTTGTCAACATAAAATTCAAAAGTTTAAAATAAATTGGTTATAGTAAAGAAATAACAACCAAGACATTTATATTAGTTTAAAAAGTGATAAAGATGGCAAGCTTTTATTTACTACAATGTAAACTTAAATTATTTAAAAAATAATCCGAATTTAGAACAGTATGCTCCATTTGCCCATTCAACTGCACAATGATAAGCTTATTTTTCAGATTGTGTACATAACAAGTACTGAGTATTCATAATGTACCTATGAGTATTCAGTATTTACAATGTACCCATGAGTATTCAGTATTTATTATGTACCCATGAGTATTTAGTATTCATTATGTACCCATGAGTATAAAGTATTCATTATGTGCTCAAAAGTACTCAGTGTTCATTATGTGCTCTTAAGTATTACAATGGTGATGTCCCAAAATGAAAGAAAAAAAAAGATTCATGGTTATGTTAAGTCAATATAATATTTTTTACCATTAAATTTGTAAACTTGCGAGTTAATCACAATTAATTTTTTTTTTCATTAAATTTGTGAATTTTTTGTAAATTATTATTAAAATTGTAAACTTTTGTGTTAATTAATCACAGTTAATTTTTTAGTTGATCACAGTTAATTGCAATTCTACTATTTCTTTTATTTCTGTAAAATACATATAACAATATCAATTCAAATAGAGACAAGGTTTTGGGCATCCATATAGTATGCATTCACAGAAGTTGAAATTTTGCCCTATATCAATATAAACTTCGAAATATAGTTTATGAATAAAATCATAAATTTTACAGACCAAATCTTGTATTTGTTGTAGAATGAAATAGCAATATTTAAAAAGGAACTTAAATACCGAAGAAAGAAAATACATTTTTTTAAAGCCTGACAGTTATACAAAGCAGACCTTGCATACCTAACATTTATACAGATCTGCTTTCATAATGCATACATACTATATAGATGGTTTCTATTTTGCTTCATAGACAAAGCCAAAAAGCGGGGGTAAAGCTATTAAAATGAACTTAGGTAGTTCTTGACAGTTACCAGTTATTTATTTATTTAATCAAATAATTTAGACTCACAGCTGAAGTCCAAGTTGCAGTTATACCTAAAAATAATTAATTGAAAAAATAATAATAAAAAAAGTTAATTTCAATAGAAACACAACAGCAAAAAATAAAAGAAGATATTTGAAAATAAATATCAATCATAAAATTTTTTAGATAGAATTACAGATTAATCAAGACATTGTGATAATTATGAAAAAACTCAAACCTAAAGTTGCCAATAATCTTTTATAATTTTTTAAATACTTTTAAATTTAATTATACCTTTTAATTTAATCTTAATAACAGCATTTAAATACTGCAATGTGTAACTTAAAAAAACATGTCCAAAATAAATGCTTTCGTATAAAAAGAATTTTACAAACATATAATGTAGCTATTAAAACAAAAGTTTACACCAATTATACCGAATAACATACAATCATATAACATAAAGTATTTTGTGATCACTTACGTTTGTGATCAGTCAAATATCATAAATATTTTGTGATCACTTACCTTTGTGATCAGTCAAATAACATAAAGTATTATTATAAGTTGCTTTGACTATAACTATAGGTAAATCTGAAAACTCTGTTTCTGGTTTTGTAACTAAATTTGATGTAGGAAACTTTGATTTCTTTTTTACAGGTACATCTTTTGGTCTAAAATGAAAAAACAAGCATCACAGCAAACTATATATATATATATATATATATATATATATATATATATATATATATATATATATATATATATATATATATATATATATATATATATATATATATACATATATATATATATATATATATATATATATATATATATATATATATATATATAATATATATATATATATATATATATATATATATATATATATATATATATATATATATATATATAAACAACATAAAGAGACATAAAGAGAAAAAAAAGTAAAAAAAGAGACATAAAGAGACATAAAATAATAAAGAGACATAAAGAGTAACAAAAAAAAAGGACATAAAAACAAGCAGCTAAAACTTTTAAATAAGACATACGTAACTGCTTTTACATTCAAAATATTGAACGTTGTAAACAACTTGTTTAAATTATTTTTTTGAAACCACGTAACTATCTTTCCAGTTGCTGATGTTGAAAACATGATTATACTATCTATATTAAAAAACTGGAAAAAAAACTTTGTACAGTAATAAATAACAAAAAAAGTTTAGTCAGAGATAAAGAAATAAAAATAAAATGTCATAAGACAGATATAGATAAAAATAATATGCTAAAAATAGTAGCAAAATAGAGATAAACAAACAAAAAGTTTTTTTCAATTTTATAGTTCTTTTTATTGTTTTTGCTTTTTACCATTGTTTTTGCTATTGCCTTTTTTAAATTCTAGAGATATATCAGAGGAAAATTTACATCCAATACATGTAGTAATACATACATGCTTAATACCTGTGTAGTACACATGTGGTAGTATCTAAATACATAGTAAATATACAGTACAAAAATATAAAAATATGTTATGAATTTGAATAAAATGTTTTTGATTGATATATGATTTTACTAAAGATTAAAGCAGTAAACATATAACATGAAGATTGTATAATACTTAGGAAGAAATGAAGCTTTTAAGTCATGGTCAAAGCATCTTACTTTAAAAAAGGCAGCTCTGATACAAAACATTTAGTTAAATTTTAACTAAGGAGCTTATATAGGAGCTTATTAACCTTAGAAGATAGTCTTCATAGCGGTCACAACAAAATAAATTGATCCTTTTCTTTTGAATAAGTAAAGTTTTTATGATGTGAACTTAAAAAAAAAAAATTATATTTTGCTTTGCTGAGATAAATAGAAAAGAAATATGTTTACCAAAATGACCTATATCCTCCTTATCTTCCATTAACCTCAACATCCGCTTTTTTCTTAAGGAGTACAAAATTTGTGCATTTACTTTTTTAAATTCTACCTAGTAGCATTCTTTTCAATTACAAACTTGTTATTCATTGTGCTGAGAAATTATATCGAAACGTTGGTATAGAAAAAATTCCTTCTTTGCCAAAACATTAAATTTTCATAACTAAATTTAAGTTGAAAATTGTCTCTTTATACACAGTTGCCTAAACAAAAAAACTTCCACTTTATTTTAGGAAATGGTTTCCTTTTGTAAAAGCCTCAAAAGAAATTGATAAGGATTTCACAAAAAGGCAGCTTAATCGTGTTCCATGATTCAATACTAATTTTTATGGCAAATTTTTACATCAGCAATCATTATTTATTGACTGGAAATTTCTACAAATCAAAATAAATATTTATTCATTATATGGTAGCATGTCCGCACGATTTCTTTATAATTTAAATATTCATATATAATTGATGTCGTTGTATAGAGCTTGGTTTGACTTAAAAAATGAGGGGTCATTCGACCTTTGAAGTTAAGCGGATCAAAAGTTATTAATCTTTATGTAGTGAGAAAACGGGTGATTTTTTGACAAAAGGTATAGGGCTTAAGTATTGGAAATTTGCGGCGAAATGGCACCGAAAAATGATAGTTTTATTGACATTTGAACCGATAATACATTTGACTTGAAATTTTCCATAGTGACCAACCAATTATAAGAAAATCAAATTCCAAAATTTTTTATTTAAATCTGTCAGGATTGACCAGAATCATCTATTTTACAGACCAAGGATTTTTACTAATTTATATATTTTTGCGGTCAAATTAACTTTTGAATAACTTTTAAACCGTTATTACCTTTGACTTAAAGTTTTTCATAGTGATCAAAGAACTATTAGAAAATAAAAAACCGAAATTTTACTTTAAAAAATGTGTCGCTATTGTCCAGAATCATCTATTTTACAGCCTGAAGGGTTTTATATTATTTTCTTATTTTTGAGAATAAAAATTTGACTGCTCAGTGAATAATCACATAAATTACTGTTCAGTGAAATATTATAAATTGCTGAAAATGGGCTTTTCAAACGATTTAAACATATCAACTTTAAATAACTTGTAACTTTTTTTTTTAATTTTTTGATATTTTTGCACCATAATTACATTTGACTTGAATTTTTAAATAGTGATCCAGTTTTTATTAAATCTGTCGGGATTATCCAGAATTGTTTATTTTACAGACTGAAAGGTTTCTACTTATTTAATTGTGTTATTAAGAAAAAAATTAGGGTTGCACTATGCAAATATGCATAAAGGAATCATGGAATCCAAAAAATACATCATTTGAAAACTATTGCTTAATTTACAGACCTGTCAGTTAAATTCTTGCATAAATTACAGACCGGTCAGTAAATTACAGAAAAGTAGATGTACACACCAATTAAGAATATTTACCTTAAATATGTTTGATGTTTTTGAACCGTTATTACATTTGACTTGAAATTTTAAATAGTAATCCAGTTTTTATTAAATCTATTGAGATCACACAGAATCATTTATTTTACAGACTGAAGTGTTTTTACTTGTTTAATTGTGTAATGAACAACAAAAATTAAGGTTACAATATGCAAATATGCATAAAGGAATCATGGAATCTGTAAAATACATCAATTTGAAGTTATTGCATAATTTACAGACTGATTAGTAAATTACTACAAAAGGGTTGCACCAACCTATTGGACAAATCAATATTGCACAAACCTATTTGACTTTAAATATATTTGATAATTTCCAACTGTTATTACATTTGACTTGAAATTTTTGATAGGGATACAAAACTATAATAAAATTAAATTAATAAAAATTAATAGTAATAAAATTATTATTAAAACACACAGATTAATTGGTTTTAAAAATAAAAAATAATTATAAATTAACAATGAAAACTAAATAAATATAGAATAAGAAACTAAGTTAGTTCACAGAAACAAACTCTTTGAGATTGTTTATGTGAACTATTGACAATAACTAAGATAAAAAAGTGAAAACAACATTAAAACAAAAAATGGTGTTATTCTAAAACTTATCTCTTGGCTTTTAGTGAATGATTAGAGGTAGAGAGTTTGAGTAACAAAACAACCTAATAATCATTTTTAACGATAGACACCAGCGAGAAGGTAAGCCAAGTTGTCTATCAACACAAAACATCACAACAATAACATCGCAATCACAAAACATACAGAACCTGTGGCAATAAACGCTGCAAATTCATGCTAGTGTCAATACTTAACTAACAAGGTGAACTTCTATCCTCACCCTTTTACCATTAGATTAGAAAGTGAAAAGTAAACATCAAAAATACATTAATAAATTGCGAATGCCAAAAAAAATATTATAAACAAAAACAAACGCAAAAATCATAACAAAAAAAGCCAAATATACATAATTTATAAATACATTTCCTAAGTATCAAATCATTAAGAAATCATAAATAAATACTTAATTTAGATAGAGGAAAGGCTATACTTGTCTTTTCCACCTGGGCCTTTTTGAAAAAAGGTTTTTTTTCCAAAAAAAACTGACAACAAACTTTTACAACACTGAAAACTAAACAAATAAGAGCAAATAACAAAATGGTCCACATTCCATTAAACTCCTCATTTTTTTTTTAATCTATATGGAAAATTTCATGCAAATTGGATGTGTTTTGGTACTTAGGAATCCTTACCTAAAAAAGCTTCTTTAAAAAAACGTTTCGGCGGGTAGTTTTTTTTATCAAAAGAGGTCTCAGGATATTAATAATATTTAAGTGAAGCCATATAAAACAAATTACTTTCTATATATGGCTAGAAAGAGGTTGAGTAACACTAATTGATACAAAAAACCTCAAGGTGATTGCTTAACCCTACAAAAGATATAAGAGAGTAAAGTTTATGAAAAATCGGCGTTTTTCGTCAAACGTCAAATGTTTTTCGCTGAGCCGTGGAATCGCTATTATATGGGTTGAAAATTATATTTAAAAAACGATTACAACTTTATAAATCAACAATTGTTATAAATCAACAATATAATTGGATGTATTAATGAAATGTATATTTTTTATATTTTATCTTTTTATTATTATTATTACTATTATTATTATTATTATTATTATTATTATTATTATTATTATTATTATTATTATTATTATTATTATTATCATTATTATTATGTACAAAAAACAAAATAACCAAAATAACAACACTTTGCAAAATAACAACATTTTACAAAATAGCAACATTACAACGTGTAAATGTAGCATATGGTAACACCAAACTGTAGATAAAATTTTAATCGGATTGGTTTACTGGTTACTGATTTATAGCAATTTTAGTTTATATTTTTTTAGTTTTTTGCTACAAAGACCTCAAAACGTCACCGATAACTGTGATATTTAATCACTATTTTTAAAATAAAAATTACATGTCAATGTTCAATCAACATTGAATATGTTGTAATATCAATAATTTTTATTATAATTGTTTTATTGCTACATGTACCGTTTTCATTCTATAGGAAAAATATTGACTTGCTATGAAGCGTAGTTTGAATAATGGTAAGCTTTTTTTATCAAACCTCTAATTCGACTGTCTCCTTTAAGTCCGCAAACATAAAAAATTTGTGTCTTTCAGTTCAAGACAACCTCCCCAAACCAAAACCTTCAGCTGATGTATGGACACTACCTGTGCCTATGGCTATATAAATCAGTCGATGTATATACACTGCGATACGCCTATCCGTATATTTCCCAAATTTGCCTATTCCCTAAAAATCCCGGTTTTTAAACGTTAAAGATGCTCAACGTCTTAATAGAGGTTTGAAAAGATACTATTGAAAAGAGACTATAGAAAAAAGAGATTACATGCCTATGACAGGTAGTCTTTCTTTTCTATGGCATAGCTGATAGCTCTTTTTCTATGGCATAACGTAAATATCTCGACATTTCCTAAAGTATAAACTACTTCCAAAATGCAAAAAAAAAAAAACTATTTTTTTTTTGTTAATTTATTTCGCCGTTAAAGAATGTTTACAATGTATTTACATCTCTACGGGCATTTGTTTTTAAAAATTACGTTCTAAATGTCTTTCAATCGTTATTTAAACGTCTTTTAAACGATCTTTACGTTAGAATGTTTAAAAGACGTTCAAAAGACATTTAAAATACATATAGAACGTAACTTTTAAAAGCGAATGCCCGCTGGGATATATCAAAATTAATGGCTGGAGCAAGAAGAAGACACAGTTTGCTTTATCGCTGAGCCCTATAT